ACACAGGAAAAGTTGAATGAATAATAATAGGTAACATTTATATATGTGCCAGACACTGTGCTAAGTGCTTTAAAATATTATGTCATTTGATCCTCACAACAACTGTGGGAGGTAGGCACTATTATTATCCCATATGAGAAAATGGAGGCAAAAAGAGGGTGTCTGAGACCAGATTTGAACTCAGGTCTTCCAGACTCAGTGCTCTACTCACTGTACCACCTACCTAGCCAACATTGACTATCCAGACTATGATACACTGCTGGGTGGACAGCCGATTGAGACAGTCAATAAGTATACACCTCTTACCACTCTACACTCCATGCCTTTGTGGCTCATTATCCACATCATGCCTGCTCACCATGGGTGAACCCCAAGGCCCTTGCCTAGGAGGATTTTTCTTTTTCTCTGCACTCTCACTTGGTGACCTCATCAGCTATCATGGAAATAATTATCATCCATCTCTGTCTCTCTCTCTCTGTCTCTCTCTCTGTCTCTCTCTGTCTCTCTGTCTCTTTTTCTTCTATATCTCTCTTTCTCTCTGTCTCTCTCTCTCTCCCCATATATATGTATACACACATATTATCTTTAGTCTCTTTTCTGTTCCTGTTTCAAATCACTGTTTATTGTATATTTTAAACTAGAGGTCACATAGGTGTCTGAAACTCAACATATACAAAATAAAAGTCAGTAGTGTTTTCCCTAAATCCACCCCTCTTCTGAATGTCCCTATTTCTGTCAAAGGTGCCACAATCAATTAAACTCCACTGATTTCATATTGCCTCAAAGATCATTTTGCATTTCAAGCCCTCATAACCTGAATTTGGCTTATTGCTCTAGGCCTATTTCCCTTCCATGCCTTAGTCCCCTTCATACCTTCTGTACTAAAGCAAACTGGTTTTCTTGCTATTTTTCCACAAATTTCCATCTCCCATGTTGATCTTTTGCATAGGCCCTGGGAACTCTGACTTTATTTAGAAGTGTTACACCATTCATTAGATATTTTTTTTAACTAAATTCCTACTGAACATTATTTCTTACTATGTTCAGCAATACATTTTATATGTCTCCCTTCA